CCCTCCTCCACCACCTGGCCCTCCACCCCCGAGGCCTTGCACTTCTGCACGAAGCCCTTCTGCCGGACCTTCTCGATCCTGCGGATGGGGCCCTGGTCGATGACCTCGTACATGGCCTCCAGCCGGACGGGGTACGGGTAGCGCTCCTCCACCTGCAGCGTCTTCTTCAGCAGCACCATGCCGAACTTGCCCCTCTCCAGCTTCAGGAAGCTCATGAGCTTGGGGATGAGGCCGGGGTCCAGCGGCTGCTCCAGCACGCGGCCCTCGCTGGTGATCCTGCGCACCTTGCCGCCCTCCTCGCCCGCCTGGTGGAACAGCACGATCTGCTGGATGTGCCTCTCCGCCAGCTCGCAGTACACGTCGTCCTTCAGGAGGCTCATCATCAGGCGGTAGTAGCCCTCCGAGGCGTGGGGGGCCGAGATGACCCACACGCGGTTCTTCCCCGCGAAGCTGGCCAGGATGTTGGGCGAGCTGGACCCCGAGGGGAAGCGCAGCATTCTGGACCGAGCCAAGGACCCCTCATCTCGGACCATCTCCCGGGGAGAAGCCCGGGCTGCTGGTCTCCGCTCCGGTCTCCCCCGAGCCCCATGGACGTCCAGCGGGGCTGGCGGGGCCTTCTCATGAGCTATTCTCAGCACCGGCACGCTGCGCCTTCTTTGGAGAGGCTGAAGGTGTCCTTCTCCCGGCGCGGTTCTCTCCATTCCCTGAGACCTCCCCGTGTGCCTCAGCAGCCGAGCGGGCCTTCTGTGGACTGGGGGGACCAGAGGCGCTTTCTGTCCTCCATGGCCCCCTCCATTCATCGCCTGGGGGTGGGGTTCTGACCCACACACCAGCCACATGGCCACCAGCATGGTGAAACTGGGTCCCATTCTCCATGTCATTGTGCAATCCACTTTGAGAGGCAGCGAGGTCAAAGACAACAGGGGAGAGGAAGGGGAGAAAAGAAAGAAAATTATTTAATTGCAAACAGCTGGGCATTTTCCCTTTCTCCAATTTGGCCAAAGACTGGAGGAAGGGAAGGGGTGGTTAGAGAAGAATAAGGAGGGAGGTCATGGGGAATGGAAAATAGGATTGAGATCCTGTTACTTGTAAGCCCCTATAATTTGTCAGCACTGAGCAGAGACAGTTACATTGAGCAGGAAACCCAACTCGGTGCCCCATTCGGCGTGCTCGCACCCTTTCATCTGACTCTCTGATGCTCCAGAGAAAATGCACACCGAGCATATTAATTATGACAAGAGTCTCATTTCATTTCTTCAAACAAGCAACAAAGAAACAATCACACCAAAGACAGAAAGGCTTGTACACTTACACTGTGGCTCATGGAGATGGAATGCCGGGGGTTTAAAGCGCAATCTGAAGTGTGGTCCCAGGACAGTTTCCTAGATGAAATGCTTTTCCTCCCAACCCTCTGTCTCCTTCGCGAGGCTGGGGCGCGCTGCAGCTCCAGCTCCGGTCGCCTGTCCTGACCTGAGGGCTCAGCGGCTCTCTTCTTTTCTCTCAGGCTGTCTCTTTACCTTCTTGACAAGTAGGATGAGGTGACAGGAGCTGTCCTTTTACGTCTGTGCATCTCCATTTTTCTGTCCTTCCTGCTGTGTCTTGTGTCTGTGTGTGCCAATCCCTGTGCGGACAGACAGGAAGCCCCTGCGTCTCCCTCTTTGCTCTCTTTAGAGTTCCAGGATCCTTCTTATCACCCTTTCCCCCACCGTCTGGCTTAGTCCCTTTGTTTCCGAGCAGAAAGGCACTGGGATTGATATGTTTTCCAGGCTGAGGGAAAACACAGGAATGTGATGTTGAAAGTAGGCTTTTTCTCTTTCCCTGCGCCTCTCTCCTCCCTTTCTTTCTCCCCACCTTTTTCCCCCTCCTCGTTTCCTTCTCCTTCGTTTTCTTCTTCCTCTTGCCTGGATTCAGTCCCAGGAATGCCAGGACAACCTCAGTTTTTATCCAAACCAAACTCAAACAACAGCAGCCACTGGAAATCAAGGGAACTTCACTAAGAATTTAACAGATCAGCAAAACACCGCCTCCTTCCCATTTCAGCACGTTGAGAGTGGACTCGGTGAGGAGGGAGAGGCTGTTCTTTGGGTGGGGGAAAGTTTTGAAACACTACCCATCATCATAAATCACTTTAGAATAGGATGGCTGAGGACTTAACCCCTTCTATCCCGAGTAATCAGGATATTCTCCCTCGCCGTCTGTACTCACACTGCACTTCGGGACTGGAAAATTCTCAGATTTCTGCTTGGTTTTCCTAGAGACAGATAATCATTTGGGTCAGGGTGCTTGGCTGCACACACAGAGATAGCATATATATATTTATAGTTCCATGAATATATTTTTATCTTTTTCTCCCTGCTTCATGCATTTAGTTTGAGGTTGGAAAAGCTCATGGAAAACATGACTGGGTTGTTTTTATTTTATGCTAATTGGAGATCATATTACTGTATTCTTGCTCCTAGTTTTCTCCTTGGCATGGAAGAAAGCTGGTAAAAGGTTAGAAATGCAGGCAATAGCTGTTGTTCCCCTGAGACCAGTCGGCCATTGCATCAGGGGAGGGGCACAGTTCTGGGTTCTGCCTAGAAATGGTAGGCTAAGACCCTCCTCAGAGGCATGAGTGTGTGTGTGTGTGTGTGTGTGTGTGTGTGTGTGTGTGTTGCTCTCCAAAAGCTTCAGGTATCTATAGGGCTATAGACAATCCTTCGAAATAGCCATATCAGGTTCCACAGAGACTGAGGTAGCTATGTCTGTGTGTGTGTGTGTGTGTGTGTGTGTGTTACTCTCCAAAAGCTTCAGGTATCTATAGGGCTTTAGACAATCCTTCGAAATAGCCTTATCAGGTTCCACAGAGACTGAGGTAGCTGTGTTCACCTCCTGAGTCTGTCATAGGGATTCAGCTTTTAGATGGGTGGAAAGGTGCCTCAGGTTATACAAACATTTTGTCCAGCTTTTCTAAGAGAATTCCATCGGTATGAATTACCAGAGACCGTGGTGAGCCAGGGTTCTCAGAATGCCCTTTGCAAACTAGGCCATGCCAGTGGCGACTCTCACAGAATAAAGCCTGCTCCTTTGTGGCTACCCCTTGATCAGCCCATCTCCAATGGGTCATATGCCTTTCCTTCACATAAGCTCCCAGCACAGAATTGAATACCTGTAGGGGGTTGAGGGGAAGGCACTCAGCCCACAGCTTGAGGACCAAGGGGTGCCCAGAGGGAAGGCCCTGCTGTGGAGCCCTCACAAACCCTTGTGACGGCAGCAACGAAGGTGGGCTTCAGACACAGACTCTTTGTCCAGTCGGAGAAGGTGTTTCCTTTCATGGGCTTCACCTCTTACGTTGATCAAATGCCTGTGCTAAGTTATACAGCAAGCATGTCAAACTTGCGGCCCGCAGGCCCCATGCGGCCCACAATGAATATTTTTGCGGCCCAGCCAATATAACGATATGTAAGAAACATTTTAATAAAAATTTCGTAACTTAATTTTTACAATATCTTGTTATACATAATTATTAATAACAAACTACAACACTTGCTAATGACTGATTACTATAATCATGTTGCTTTCATTTCCTTTACGCACCTTATGTGCAGGCGCACCATTTCTCTCCACCAATACTAGCAGCAAATATTTTAGCAGCCAATTGCCATGTCATTAGTCTTGTACTTACCTGTTTGGTGCATGCAACAGGAAATATTTCACTTTCGGAGAACAAGAAAAATAGGTTTATTTGCGTTACACTTATTCATTTGTGCAAGTTAATATTCAAGAAAAAATATTAATTTTTATTAAAATGTTCTATTATTCTATGTTAATGATTACTCATTTATTTCAGCCCTTTGTATTCAGCATGTCTCTATCAAAATAAACCTATGTTTCTATGAAAATTGAAGCTTTTGTTTTTTTGCGGCTCACATAAACTTAAACCTTGTTTATTTGGCCCGTGTTAGCCTTTGAGTTTGGCATGCTTGTTATACAGTCCTGGATGTTATTTCCTTTCTCAAAACATAGTGTGTTCTGTACTATCCCTTTCAAGGTCTTCTTTCTATTCTCCTTACTAATAACAACTATCATTTATTGAGCATTTTTAGGTGAGGCTCTGGGCTTGGCACTTTCATATATTCTTTTATCTAATCTTCCTAATATCCCTAGGAGATAGGTAGAATTATTCCCATTGGACAAACTGAGGCCTAGGGAGATTAAATACATTCCCTACTCTCACACAAATGTAAGTGGTAGTGGTAAAATTGACCCACCTACAAAACATGTGTTCTCCTGCCTCCCCCTTTTATTTTCTTCCCATACGTTCTCTTATTTCTCTTCCTTTAATACCTTTTTATATTTCCCATATTCATAGATGAATCTCATTTGTTTACTCAACCACAGCACTTATTATACTTTTAGAATCTTACTTTCCAGAGTAATTTTGTAGTAGTAGTTTTTACCTTTCTTTATAGGTCCTTAAAGCCTTGTCCTTTTTCTTAAATATCACAAGTCTTCCACCAGCCACCTAACAATGTGCACCACATTTGTCACCTGTGCAACTAGTAAAGTTCTAATACAGACACTTTAGTGACCAGAATTTCATTAAGAGGGGAAGCCAGCCCAACCCTGAGCTGTGTGTCTTCCTGGGAGCTTCAGGTTTTCTTCCCTTCTGTAATTCTCAGCCACCAGATGGCGCGCTCAACACATATATGGGAGAGGGCCTAATACTACCATCTTGGTGTCTCCCTAATGCTTTCCCACCCCCCACACAGACACACTGGCAAAGTGGGGATCCTCAGTGGGGCTTCAAAATGGGGCTTATAGTCCATTATTTAAAAGCCATGTATTAAAAAGTCCCCTACTTAGACCTTTCCATCTTTTCTGTAACCTAAGAAACATTAACTAATTAGCAGAGACGAGCAAGAAAAATGAGAGAGAGAGAGAGAGAGAGAGAGAGAGAGAGAGATATTTATGCTGAGTCAAAGAAAGGCAAAAGAAATAAAATTCAAAAGTAGATTTTAGAAGTGCTAATTTTGGAATTCATTGACAAGAAACTACCTGACATTGGTTGCAGAGTAATTTGGAGGGAAGAAAGGCCAGAATGTGCAAAACAAAATTGCTTTAGAGATACAGCAATTTTGATGAAAATCAGAGTAAATGTAAGGTGGCATCCAGAAGGGGGTGTGCTAACTGATCAGACCCACACTGACCTAAGTCCTCAGCAACCTAGGACCAAGACTCAGGGAACTATGTCCCAGGCACCCTAGAGAAACCATGGTTTCTGTCACACAGAGTTTATTCCCTTGCACAGAGTAATTCTTGGTGGGTGTTACTGAACTGGAATCAAAACATTGTTCTATTGCCCGAGGAAACTCTTTGCTTAAGAGGGGAATGGGGGGAAAGAAAAGGAGGCAAAATACAAGCTCTTCAGTGTGGTCTTGGAGGGAAACCACCTCTTCTGCTCTGTCTCCCCCAGCAGAGCCATTTTACCACACTTCTGTGGCAGAGACACAAACAATATTCAAGTTGAGGATAATGCTACATGCTTTTTCTTTCCATTTGCAGACTTTACTCGATGTCCAGTCTTAAGCCACACTTGTCTTTCAGAATAAAAAAGAATTCTCTTCTCAGTATTCACAGAGTAGGACACACTGAAGAGATAAACTGCAAGGTCAAGGGGAAAGCCCACAATGACCATTTACTACTTCAGGATGCTGCCACAGCCCAGAGAAGCTCTGAGAAAGGGTAACCTCGTCTGAAATGGCTTTGAAATGTCAACAGGTCACATTTAACCCAAAGTTGAAGGATATGTTTACTTTAAATAAATAAATAAATACAAACAAAGTTACCTGATAGAACAGTGACCAAAACTATTTGGAAGAACAGTTTTAATATTCTGTTTTATTCATTTGTTTTTAATTACTTTAGAGTTTATTGGAAAAATCTTGGAGGCACTTTTTTTCTAGGTGGAAAGTTGTTTAATTAAGAAGTTGTCAAACTCCTAATTAGAACAAATTGAAGGATCTTGCCCTAGCAGAGATTAAGGAGCTATTTAAATGAACTAATGGCTCCTTTAAAAATGTTTACATCAGTGATTTAAAGTTCCTATTTTCATTGGTTGCCATTCTGTGAGAGCAGTGTAAACTTGTGGGTGTATCGATTTGCTGCTTGGGAGAGTTGATTCTAGGCTGGGAAGAGATGGACAGTACGGGGTTCAAAGTCTTAACCGTTGGTCATTTAAAGTATAAAAAAGATTTATATCAATCAGATTTGAAGGGACAATTTTGATTATGCTGCCCTCCATTCTCTTAGGGATAGCCAAGAAGAGTCGTGATCCATTTTCCTTCTCCCTTCTTTCAGCCTTTCTCTCAAAAGTTCTCCAAGAGTGCAGACTTTGTACCAGGAATGATAGAGAATCAGAGAGTCTCTTCCCTTTAGAAGCTCACAGTCCAGTGGAAAAGATAAACAAATACTAGTTAATTGTACTCTCTGCAGCAGCACTGCTGACCTTTCATTATGTAAAAGTCAGTGCTGACATGGCTGTAGCCAATGTGCACAGAGTTTATTCCTGTCCGAGGGGTTCGCTTCTTTGATTGTTGGAGCAGGTTTTACCCAGAAAGAGGCTTCCCATGGCAGCCACTGTGTGGCACCTGGAAAATCTTGCATGGTTGTTCCCCTGGCCTCAGAGTTCACTCGTCCATAAGAGCCCAAGACACTCTGTCTGGCAGGATGTGCTAGATTGTCTGACAGTCCTCTCATTCTCATTTCCCAGTTCCCATCTTGCACCGGCCCTGCTAGGATTGCCTTGGCTTTCACTTCTTGTTTTTCCGTATTGACCTTTTACCCCAGGTTTTGATTGCATCGCTCAGAACATCACCTGACATAAGGAGGGGTTAACCAACAAGATCTCAATACGTTCACTGAACAAACATGTATTCAATGCCAGGCATTAATATGAATGAGCTCCTGACCTCATGGAGCTTATATTCCAGTGGTAGAAAACAAACAATAGAATATAAACAAAAACTATATATGCCTACACCTAGATACATGCTTGGGAGGCACTTTTTAAAAGGGAAGGGAGTGAATGGTGATGAAGAGAAGGAAGCCATTTTA